ATCGACTACACCCAAGCATACCGCTTGACGCTTCCAACACCAAACAATTAGTTAGCATGTAAGGCGATAGATGGCACTTGAATTACTGACGCTGCGACGTAGTTTACAAGCGCCATCCACACGGCGCTTATATTATTGACGCTGCGACATATATATATTTTTTTATGGGATAAGCCGCTAAACGAGCAGACGGCGCTTGACGGTAAGCAATCGGCGTGGCCCATGGACACCTGGAACACCAGAGGCGTTACAAGTGCGTTACCGGCCTTTTAGGATTAGGAATTTGAGGATTGTTGGAGATTCAGGGTTTGGGGAAAGGGGGGGAGGGTGATTGGGCATTCGGTAACCTTACTCACACGACGAAACACAACACAACGTTGTTTCACGTCGGTCTTCTGCTCGGCCGTGGTATCACTCCGGTCGAGCCGGCCCATTCATGCCGAAGCACTTTCTTGACTATTGTGAGTATTGTTGTTTGTTATTAATATAGAATCTATAATACTTACCGGTGGATAACCACATTGTCCAAAATGTAGAAATTGTATAATTAAAATCAGTATATGAATACTCCACATGGTCCCGCTAGAAAATAACAAATAAACTAACTGTACCTAAGATCCAATTACTATGACTTTATACAGTTAGTAATTAATTAATGGTTCACTTTATCGTTATTTTTTATTATTTTCTCAAATTGATTGGGCGGTCCAATTTTTATAGAACTATATTGTTCACTTCGGTCCTTACTCCTAATTGCTTCGATCAACGTGACAAATATATGGAAATAATGGAATAGAGAGCCTTCATTCAGCATTGGGTGTGTGCTGGTCCATCATCATCATCATCAACAGCCTATAAGTGGCCACAGCTGACCAAAGGCCTCGTCTCACACGGAGGTTTGAGCATTGATCACCACGCTTGCTCAATGCGGGTTGGCGATTTCAGACTTATAATTAGAAACTACAAGCCCAGGTTTCCTCACAATGTGAGGACAGTCAGTGGTGTCTGAATAATCTTAGAAAGCACGTATAAGTCGGAAAAAGTCACATTGGTAATTGCCATTGATAGGTTTTGAACCCGCGCCCTCAAGCATGAGAAGCAGGCGTCTTAAACCTCACACGTCTACTGGTCGATGGTGACGAATTTTATCTTCATATCAGCCATGTACTGTCCACTGACTCCGACAGTACTCCCCCAATGACTACACATCGCAAAGTTGGAAGCGACCCCCATTTTTTTTTTAAGGGGGGAAAATCATCGAGTGACTGCTCCCGCCTGGGTGAGGCGGGAGGGAGTGTCAGACTCTTACTGACTAAAAACCACCCCGTTCCTTCTCCTGCACGTCGAGCCGGAGCCCCGGGAACTCGTTAGGTTCTCCGCGACAACAGCGACAGCAGACCTTAATAGGAGCTCCGTAGTTTTGCTCACCAAACGTCACAAAAGTAGCAAAAAGAATTAAGTGTGGAAGAGCCATGCTTCGGCATGATTGGGCCGGCTCGACCGAACTGATACCACGGCCTCACAGAAAACCGACGTGAAGCAATGCTTGTGTTGTGTTTCGTCGTGTGAGTGAGGTTACCGAAGGCCCAATTACCCTCCCCTTCCCCAATCTCCCCAATTCCTGAATCCCCAACTATCCTCAAACTCCTAATCCCCAAAAGACCGGTAACGTACCTGTAACGTCTCTGGTATTCCTGGTGTCCATGGGCGACGCCTATTGCTTACCATCAGGTGATCCGTCTGCTCGCTTACCGGCTTATGGGTGGGTGTCTTCAAGGTTCAAGTGAATAGGTTGCTTACTTATGGAACGACGTGCTCCATCGTAGACCGCATCATCGCTTACCGCCAGGCGAGATAGTGGTCCAACGTCGCCCCATCAAATATGTAAAAATAAGGTTAAGACGCCCGCTTCTCATGCATGAGGGTGCGGGCTCGAAATCATCTACTTATACTATTATATAAAGCGGAAGAGTTTGTTTTTTGTTTGAACGCGCTAATCTCCGTAACTACAAATCTGATTTGAATAATTCTTTTTGTCTTGGATAGCGCATTTATCGATGAGCGATTAATAGGAGCTGTACAGAGCGTGTGAAACCCGCGGAAGTAGCTAGTCCATAATAAATATTAGATTATATTGTATGGTCATCAAGATTTAAGAGTGTGCACCAAATACCTATCAAATCGATCTGTCGTCAGGAAGGGGGTAAAATTTCAATTAGTAAAGACTGAAACAAACGGGGTAGGCTATATAAAACCGTTTATCTTCTATATCTTATCTATCTTATCGATACATATTATAATAAAATGGTAGGAAAGTGAAAACTGAACATTGAATATTTTTATTAAAGAATGCTTTTTTTAACGGGGGAAAATCATCAAATGTATTCTCCCACCTGGGTGAGCGGGAGCAAGTGTCAGACTCTTACTGACTAAAAACCACCCCGTTCCTTCTCCTGCACGTCGAGCCGGAGCCCCGGTTACCCGTTAGGTTCTCCGCGACAGAAGAATGCTTTGGGCGTGATCTACAAACGGCACCGAAGCTAAAAATATGATTTATAGAATTTTTGTCTGTTTGTCTGTATGTATGTCCGGGCTAAACTCAGAAAGTACTGCATGGATTTACTTCAAATTTTGCATGAATATTACTAACAGGTCGGTTCAAAATATAAGTAGGCTACATTTTGGAAGGTTGTGGCGGGCTTGTCTCTTAACTCGTCGAGTACCGGTTTTGTAGACACAATTATAGAACAATAGGTTGCGGTCACCGGTGACCGCTTGGTGTTTGACAGTTTAAATAATACCTCTAATTATCACACCATCACCTACGGGGGAGGAGCTGTGAATCACAATAGGGTAGATGACTAATTTTTATTTTAATGTCCGTCTGGTAGATGATTTTAATTTTTTTTTATTTTCTTACACAAACGAATACTTTCGACGATATATTGATTTGAAATGTCACGTGACATCACTTCCATATACATTTTATACGTAGAAATTACGTTTATCTAAGTATCATTTTATTATACAACAAAACAAAAAAATACGTGTCTAATATTTTTTCATTACCTAACTGACGGACTAATTAGATTTTTAATTTTCATACCCTATCATCATCCCTAACATTATAGACAACAGCTAGTTAAAAATTAAACAACATCACAACATTATAATGAATATATTTAGTGCCCTAAAATTATATTAATATTTTTCGATACAACCTTTTGCGTCGGTTTATCCAGTGTCTTTAATGATTTCTTTAAATGCCTTACGAATACTTCCATAATGTCTTGAACGTCATACCTTTTACTATCAGCGAATTCAGTCAAACTATTCTTTATATCAGACCATTCTGAGGCATTCGCCTCGTTTCTTGGCAGTCTTTGATCCATCAGATCAATGATTTCCAAAAACGCGAGCGTCACATTTACCCGTCGACTTGCGCTCAAATTATTCACGACTAATGGCTTATTTTTATTCGAGATTATGTTTCTAATTATCATAAAAGTTGGTCTCAGAGTGTAAACAGGCTGCATCTCCAAATTCTCAATACCGTCTTTCAATCTACGCTCAGTATTTGTGTCTAGAGCTTTATTATAATTTGTGCTTTTAACAGCTTCAGTCAAAGCGTCTATGCCTTGTTTAAACCGCTTGTCGTCACACCGGAGTAATATTGTAATTACGCTCGCAATGAAATCAGGAAAGCCAGTCTCAGTTCGACATATTCCGAATTTCTTGCAAGCGTTCGTGAATTCAACTTCTTGTTCTTTTTCCAATTCTTTCTGGAATATGTTAGCGGTAGCCATGTTGTCTCTTAGCACTCCTTTTCTATCCATGTCTCCTACCATAAAGTTTACTAGTCGTTTAAGTATGAGGTTTGACATTTCGATAGTGTTTAATATAACTTTCTGGGTTCCTAATCTAGTTTTGATTTTCTGCGAGTTCGTGTCAGCTAGGAACTCTTTAAACTTCTCTTCGTAACTTCTAGCAACTCTGTCAATATCTTTCTTAACGTGGTACTGGTCAGTTTTCTCTTTTACAACGTCAAAAACTTTTAGCGTTTGTTTTAATATCTGATTTGTGAATTCTGTTATGTTCGTGTCATCTTTGACTTTGTGTGGATTGGTGTAAATATCTCCTGTTCTCATCGTGGTTACTGTAGTTAGTGTCGATTGCGTTGGCGTTGTAGTTACAGTCGGAACGTTAATCGGCAGTTTAACGCTAATGGGTACACTTTCATCATGTATTCTTCCAATTTTAATTTTATTTCTACCCTTTACCTTTTTATCGTCCTCCACAGATACGGAATCTTTAATTACAACCTTTTTACTACGCTTGTGCTTTTTCGTTGTCGTTTCATCCGATTCACTTTTATATGTATGTTTGGGTCTACGTGTAGATGTGAAGTCGTATATATCAAACATTGTGTTTTTCTGTGCAGTAGTAACATCAGAGCTATCGACAAACGAATCGCTTTCTACTGAGCTAAAAGTGACCTTATCTGATCGGGGAGAAGTTCTAGTTTCTTCTGATTCCTTTAACGGTATATATTCTTTTGTAGTTTCTTTTGCGTCGCTTTCTTTATTATCCTTTTGCGATTTAATGTATTCTTTTAATGATTTTGGATTGTCATGTTTAAGTACTTTTAATGGACTTGCGTCTTTTTCTTTAATTTCATGACTGCTGCGATTGCTTTGCTTTTTTCCTTTATGTAATCTTCCTTCAGTTTGGCGCAGTTCAGCTGCCTCTTTGCGCAGCCTTTCTTCGGCTATGCGTAACCGTTCTTCATCTCTTTTCATTCTAGCATCGTCATGTGGTTCCTCTTCTATGGATTCCTGATCCCCTGTTCTAGCGACTTTTTTGAGTTTGGCAGCGTTCTCGTCGACGATGCGGTATTCGTAAGTCCAGTTTGGTCCTAAATCTATTAAGCCATCTATTCGCACACTGACTGCTTTTATTATTGGTATCGTTACACCTGGAAATGTTTATAAAGTTATCAGATTTCATAGAATAATTTATTTTTATGTACTCCACGTACAATATACCTTTTTTTGATTACAATATTAAAGTCAAATTATGCTAGGCTAGAATAAAACTAGATAATAATAATACATTATTATGCTTAAAACTATGGACAGAGAAATAATAGGGCTAGTACTAATATTTGTCGCGATTTGCTTGAACTAGGTTTATGCAACCTGTGTTTCGCGTCATCACTTTATTACTATTGATGTTAAATCTATACAGGTTTGTATTATCAGCTACTTATATAAAATTAAGAAATTATCTTATTGAAATGGATCTTAACTCGTCGAGTACCGTCATTATAGACACAATTATAGAACAATAGGTTGCGGTCACCGGTGACCGCTTAGTGTTTGACAGTTTAAAGATATAACATAACATCACGCCTTTTATCCCCGAAGGGGTGATCAGAGGTGCACATTACAGCAGTTAATGCCACTGTACAATGTAACACCCACTTTTCACTATTTATGTTATGAGTCCCATGTAATAGGGGGTGAGCCTATTGCCATATACTGGGATCATATACCATATATCTTAAAGCCTTATTTATTTATTTAATGCTATGATAAATGGTAGGTACTATAATATAAATAACTCACATAATAGAAAGAAACTCCTCGGCACAAAATTCATACCATGGCCTTATCGCTAACAGATTTACAACTATAATATTATTTCTATAATACACAAATTATTTACATGTTTTATTGCATCTATTGTACTTTTAATGTAAACACATATATTCATATTTATCCATGACTATACTGCATTTCTATATATGTATATACATAAAATTGCTATTGGGCTATTTTGTCCACGCGAACGAATTCGCGGGCACAGTAGAACCAGTTACCAGACACGTGCGTACGGCGCGTCGCGTTGCACGCGCGCCTCAAAGAGCTGCAGAGGGCTTAACGGGTTGCCGGGGCTTCGATTTGAAGTGCAGGAGTTGGAACAAGGTGGTTTTAGTCAATTAGAGTCTAATACGTCTCGCCTCACTCGGGCAGGAGTAGTCATAGGATGATTTACCTCCCTCAAAAAAAGGGAGGAAAGCTTCAAAAAGCTTTTTAGGGAGAAACTAGGCAGTGTGGGACTAAAACCCTCCCGATGGCCACTCTCAGCAGCTGTAAGGGGCACTGAGTCCTCTAACAGACCATATAGGCTATTCTGTATAAATGATTAATAATAATTTGCCCGCTAAGGCGAGGCGACAGGCATTAGCGACCCATAGGGCTACCATCATCCCGAGTGCTCCAGGAGGAAGTCACCGTTCCTTATTCTCCGGCTTTCCTTAATTGGCTGGCTGGAGTGAACGATGACAAGGAACAGGTCTCCCACCTCTGGCTTGCCTTCATTGGCCGTCCAGAGTGGAGTCGCGAGAGCAGTGATCCTGCTCGGAGGGTAAGAGACTATTCGTAAGTCGCGAGTGGGCCAGGGATGCAGGAGGCTTCGGCTGGAGAATATGATCTGAGTAGAAAGCGGTGCTAGTTTCTTAACCCTGCAGCCACTCACATTCTTGTTGTCCCTCTGTTGCTATATCTAGCAACCATTCCCGGGACCCGGTCGGTGAGTTGGCGAGTCTCCACCTGCCATTTTTACGTGTACCTAATACTTACATTGTTTCGGCAGGTGACATAGTCATCCATAGTTCCCAATTTAACAGTCCACAGCAACCCATCTATATCCCTACCCTATTTTTTCCATTATCCATAATAGTTCTACACTAACCGGGGACTGACCTTGGGTGCATTTCCATAGTGCATACAGGGATAGTCGCCCGTTTGTTTTTAGATTAAAGTTGTGTAAATAGCCTCTCTGCGCAGTTGGCTTCGGCCCCTCGTATGCCTCCCAAATGACCGGGACTCTGTGGTCCCGTGAATAGTGGGCTCGCTATGAGCATTTTGACAACCGCCCTAAAAAAATGTATTTTCAATAGCTGCCTCTAGTCTTATTAGCAATGCGTGCATAAGTGCGTTGGAGACCGGTTGAGAAGTCGTTTGTTACCACCAGGTATCGTCGGGCGGCAGAGTTTACAGGTTCGTTCCTGTATGGAGTACTGTTCTCATCTTTGGGACGGCTCGGCTACATATCAGCTGGACGCGTTAGATTACGATGATGCGCTTGTGGAGGCCCGGCTTCAAAGCCTCGAACACAGGCGTAAGGTTGCAATGCAAGTCTTTCGGTTTTCTACCGGATACATTTCGGTGAGTGTGCGGAGGAATTGCACAACTTGATTCCTCCTAGTCCTTTCCATCATCGTACAGACAAACGACGAAGCGACACAGGTTCATAGTAGATGTCCCACCCACACGCACGAAGCGCTTCGCATAAAGCTTCCTTGTGCGTACTGCTAAAGAGTGGAATTCTTTGCCAGAGTCTGTATTTCCTGAAGGTGTCTGGGTGTCTTCAAGGCCCGAGTGAATAGGTTGCTTATGGGACGACGTGCTCCATCGCAGACCGCATCATCGCTTACCACCAGGCGAGATAGTGGTCAAACGTGGCCCGTCAAATCTTAATATATATGATTCTTCTGTGAGTGTATATGTCACTGAACTTCTCTCAAACGACTGGACCGATTTTGATGAAATTTTTTTGTGTGTGTTCAAGGGGATCTGGGAATGGTTTAGATTCACAAATCAGCCCGGCAGAGGGCGCTGCAGTCGATGTTTAGGTTATTTATCCTAAACAGCTGAACTAATTTGAATGAATTTATATTCCTTATATTCGTAACTTTCTATATTCATAAACATTTCAATGGTGAAATAAACCTTTCACGACACATCACTGGCCAACTTGATATGAAGTCATTGGCGTTCTGAGGAAAGTAACAAAATTCGGAGTTTCTGTTTATTGCCGATTTTAGGACAAACTAGGGCTTATTTTGTGTAGAAAAATAAAAAACAGGGTAGTAGACAGTGCTATGCTATCTTAAATAACAAAATGAAACAAAGCTTTTAATCACAGTAAATTCATTTTAATAAGATAATTAAAATGAACAACTTCTAGAGGTATAGAAGTCGTGGCGCTGGTGGCACGAAAATCCCGAACTTCTATAGAAGTGCTTGGCGGTGAAAAGGTTAAAAAGAGTAATGAATGGAGGTTCTTGCTCGTTCTCCTCCATTCGAATCTACATTTTGGAATGAGCACCTAGCTTCACCCAGCTTCACTGATGAACTGACTGACAGACTATTATTTATTATGTATTTCTTGACGTTTCAAAAGTACCAAATTATGGTTTAATTGAAATAAATGCTTTGACTTTCACTTTCGACACAGAAAATAAAACAAAACTTCATATATGTTTCGTAAACTATATATTTATAATAAAAAACACATACTATGATATAAAAATAACAAAATAAAATCCTTTCAATCAAATTATTACACACAGACCATATACTATACTTGTCGCAACATTTTCTTAGTATCTACCACGGAATAGAAAAAAACTAAACGAATCGTGATGTTGGCGTGGTACGTATGCCACAATAGTACGTTGATATATCGTACTCAAAATCTGTCCATACAAAAGTACAGAGTACAGTACAAATAACGAGGCAAACACAAAATTAGATACGCCTTTAACCACGCCTTTTTTATCCCCGAAGGGGTAGGCAGAGGTGCACTTTTTTTTTTAAGGGGGGAAAATCATCGAATGACTGCTGCCGCCTGGGTGAGGCAGGGGGGAGTGTCAGACTCTTACTGACTAAAAACCACCCCGTTCCTTCTCCTGCACGTCGAGCCGGAGCCCCGGTTACCCGTTAGGTTCTCCGAGGCAGAGGTGCACTAACACCCAGTTTTCACTATTTATGTTCCGAGTCCCATGTAATAGGGGGTGAGCCTATTAG